TTAATGAAAAAATTATAGAACTGGTCTATAACTTTTGGTTTTTACATAATTTAATCCTTAGCTTTCTAATCTCTACAATTTGGTCTCAAAAGTTATATTTTTTTCAATTGAATCATTTCCTACACAAAAAATGAAAATTATGTAAAATCAAATAAAATCTCGCAAAATTCATCAAAATATCAATAATATAATGATAAAAATTTCACATTAGTATGGACATAAATTTAACTTATCACCCATTTTAACACATCCCTCACATGCAAGCCCATTGTGCCTTTCGGATGTACTTCAGAGGCCTCCAAAGGGACAAGCCCACTAGACTTGGCAAAGCAAAGCTTCACACTTCTCCACATAGAGAAGGCAAGTGAAGAAGAAGAAGAACAAAGAGATTGATTGACCTACTTTGATACCGTGAGGCTTAAAGAGAGAGGTCAAGTCCTGATCGACTTGCTCTAATACCATAGAATTGTTTGGTATAGAGGTTGAAATCTAATTGTTAGAAAGTAACAGGTAGTGAATGGCAAGCAATAAATAGCAAGTAACAGACAACGGGTAGTAGATATTGATTTGAGTAATTGCTTAGTTATTTAATGATTAGCAATTACTACTTAGCATCAAATGAAAAACAAAGGCAAATTTAAAAAGTAGTTAAATAGAGTTTTTTGTTAACACTAAAAGAATTTAGTATTATTATTATTATTTTATTGTTATTGTTATTATTATTCAATTATAATGAAACATTCTTGTGCTATTTTTTAGTAGAAAAATTAATTTCTTATTTTTAGGCATAAGACAAAAATTACAAATTTCTCTATTAATTAATTTCTCATTATGACTAAGCAAATTTTTGTTAAATAAGAAAATTAGTGACCAATATAGTAAATAACTGAAAAAAAGAAAAGAAAAAAAGAAATAAACAAGTTAATGTTAAAATTGAATATAAGAAAGAATGTCATTGTAAAAGTAGGAGAGAAGTAGCGTCTTAAGCTCACATTCTATATCTAAATATTTTAGGAGTAAATTTGTTATAATCCACTTAGCGGATTGAGCTCTAATCACTAACCATTATTGTCAAATTGGTAAGTAAAAAATTTTATCAAACACCAAATACTTTCGTAAAAAAAAAAAAAATAAATAAATAAAAATTAAGATATTTTAACATTTAAAATGCTAGAACTCTCTATGAAATTATTTAAATAGTCTTAATGAATATTTTTTGTATGTTAATTTATTAAGAGTATTTAAATAATTTCACAATAAGTCTTGGTATTTTGATTACCAAGACATTACCAAGGTGTCCTAATTTTTTGCATTCTCAAAAAAAAAAAAAAAAAAAAAAAAAAAAAAACACTATTACTT